GAAAAATTGTGGATTTTTGGTGTTCTTTTGAAGTTTTGCAATTCATCTTGAAAGCTATTGTGCAGGGTTAAAAAATTCCCTTCTTTAAACTTACAACACCTTTTGTTAAGAGAAACAACACTTCTACTCGTGAGGATAGTGATTTTGTTTCGCAAGCTGTCAATGATTTACCTTGTTTGGACCTTGTTATGGTTTTCCAGTGTGTTGTATGTTGTGTGTTACCATATATGGTTTGCTCATGCGCACGCATGAGGCTTCATTAAACAGTCTTTTACTTACCGAACCGCCATATTGTTTGGGGTGTGTAGTTCTTAAGTAATACATGACAATTTTGGCGACGAGGATTGGGATATTAAGGGACCTTTTGGGCTGCTAAAAGTGAAGACATCCCTAAACTAAATCCACATAACGTCCACGATGGCCAGCGATGCAAATACGGCACCATCGTAACATCGGAAAAGTTCAAAAGTTCACTGTGGGAACTGACTTCGAGGCGTATACAGAACAGTTAGGATTCTTCTTCGTGGCCAATGGAGTGACCGACGCGAAACAGAAGAAAGCCATCCTGTTAACCAATCTTCCCACTGAAACGTACCAACTGGCGAAAGATTTGATGGCTCCGACCTTGTTAGGAGAAGATTCTCTCACGTACAACGCAATCGTAGAGCGTCTCCGCGAACAATTGAAGCCACAGAAGTCTGCTTTAGTAGCCAGGTATGAGTTTGACAACCGAGCACGTAACGCAGGAGAAACGGTGAGTCAATATGTTGCTGTTTTGAAACATCTAGCTATGGATTGCAAATTTAACGACGCCATGCGTTTGGAAAGGCTTAGAGATAGACTGGTTTCGGGTATTCGAGATAAGAGAATGATGTCAGAGCTTTTGAAACTTAAGCTTGAGGAACTAACATTTGACATTGCTGTTGCAAAGTGCTTAGCTATTGAGCAATCTTACAAGGATGTTGAAGCTCTCCAGGGGAATAAAGCGTCAGAATCAATCGATCTATTAGCCAAATCAAAGCCAGGCAAGAAGCTTAAATTCAAGAGAGAAGCCAAGCTTTCAGAGAAAAGGGGTTCTTTTTCCCCCAAGAGAGCGGGTGATCAAAGTTGCTACCGCTGTTTGGGAATTCATGATCACAAAAGTTGTCCATTCAAGAAAGAAAAATGCCACCACTGTAACAAGACTGGTCACATTGTGAGGGCTTGTAAATCAAAGAAAAAAGAGACACAAGTTTCCCAACCCCCAGTAAATTATGTGGACAGCGATGACGGGGACAGCGATGATTATTTGGCATCCCTTGAGGTTAATAATGTGGGTGACAAGGATCACGTAATATGGGTCAACCCCGAAATACAGGGAAAGGTGGTCAAGATGGAACTAGACACAGGGTCAGCGGTGTCTGTACTTCCATACAAACAATATAAGGAACATTTTAATCATGTCAAACTTTCAAAGAGCCTTGTGACACTTAAGACATACACTGGGCAGAAAATCACACCTAAGGGAGAGATGAGATGTAATGTTAAGTTCAAGGGCCAGGAAAAAGAGTTAAACCTACAAGTTGTTGAGACGCAGGGACCAGCACTGTTTGGGCGTGACTGGTTGTCCAACATTCAACTGAACTGGGGTGAAATCAAAACCTTTAAGCTTAGCAAGACTTCAGAAGGGGGTATGGCACGCAAAGTGGATCAGCTACTACAGAAGTACGAGTCTGTATTCTCCGAAAATCTGGGCACACTTAAAGGCTACAAGGCGGATTTGAAGGTCGAGGAAGGCTGCCAGTCCAGCTTTCATAAACCACGCCAAGTGCCATACGCACTCCGCCCCAAAGTAGAAGCAGAATTGACACGCTTAGAGAAGGAAGGTATTCTCTCTAAAGTAGAATACAGTGAATGGGCGACCCCAATTGTCCCGGTAGTCAAGCGAAACGGATCGGTACGAGTTTGTGGCGATTTTAAGGTCTCAGTGAACCCAGTACTTCTTGCAGAACAGTACCCTCTGCCACGTATAGAGGATATTTTTGCAAATTTGGCTGGCGGTAGACATTTCAGCAAGCTTGACCTTCGCCAAGCTTATCACCAGATGGAAGTAACCGAAAGATCCAAGGAACTCCTTACGATTAATACACACAAGGGCCTTTTTCGATACAATCGCTTAGTCTTTGGCATCTCTTCGTCTCCAGCCATTTGGCAGCGTGCCATAGACCAGGTATTACAGGGAATACCTGGGACCCAGTGCATCCTTGATGACATGATTGTCACAGGCAAAACCGATGAAGAACATTTGGAGAACCTGGAGAGTGTACTCAAGCGATTACAAGATGCGGGTCTGAAGGCTAACAAGGAGAAGTGCGAGTTCTTCAAAGATAGAGTTCAGTTTTGTGGGCATGAGATCGATAAGGAAGGTCTACACAAGACACAAGAGAAGATTGAAGCAGTGGTCAGTGCACCAAGACCTGAGAATGTGTCACAGCTTCGCTCATTTTTAGGGCTCGTAAACTATTACAACCGTTTCTTGCCCAATGCGTCTACAGTTCTCCACCCACTTCACCAGTTGTTAGAGCAAAACAACGAATGGCAGTGGACTGAACGGTGCGAGCGAGCGTTCACTGAGGCTAAGCGTATGATTACATCTGAGCAGGTGCTAACGCACTATGACCCAGCATTACCGGTTAGGCTGGCATGTGATGCTTCACCGACTGGCATCGGCGCGGTTCTTTCACACGTCATGTCCGATGGTAGCGAAAGACCGGTAGCTTTTGCGTCCCGATCGTTGACCAAGACTGAACGACGGTATGCACAGATAGACAAGGAGGCATTGTCCATTGTGTGGGGGGTGAAACGATTTCATGTTTACCTCTATGGGAGACGATTTACGCTCATTACAGACCACAAGCCCCTCACTGCCATCTTCCACCCAGAAAAGGGAGTTCCAGCCATGACTGCTGCAAGGCTTCAGCGATATGCATTGTTCTTGTCTGGGTTCGACTATATCATTGAGTATAAGAGTACAACCAAACACTGCAATGCCGATGGACTGTCGCGGCTCCCTCTCCAGCAGAAAGAGCGAGAAGACTTGGAGGTGGATTCAACAGAGGTGTTCCACGCCTCTCAGTTTGTGCCATTACCTATAACCAGTGAAGCAGTGGCAAGAGAAACACGTCGTGACGTTGTCCTAGCGAGGATACATGATTCTATCGTGAAAGGATGGTCTACTCGTGTGGAGGGAGACAAGCCTTATTACGAGCGACGCAATGAACTGACAGTTCACCAAGGCTGCATCCTATGGGGAATGAGAGTGGTAGTTCCCAATAAGTTACAAAGCAGAGTGTTAGAGGAACTTCATGATGGGCATCTGGGCATGGTCAAAATGAAAGCACTCGCGAGGAGCTACGTATGGTGGCCTAATATCAATGGTCATCTGGAAGAGCTAGCGAAAGGCTGCAGCGGGTGTCAGCAAAACCGGAAGATGCCTGCTAAAACACCACTACATCCGTGGGAGTGGGCCACTACACCATGGCAGCGTATACACATCGACTACGCAGGGCCATTTCAGAACTCGATGTTCTTAGTGGTTGTCGACGCACACACCAAGTGGCCAGAAGTGGTTCCAGTCAAGTCAACTTCTTCAAGTTCGACTATCGGAATTCTACGCGATTTGTTCGCCAGATTTGGAATTCCAGAACAGATAGTCAGTGACAATGGTACACAGTTTGTTTCTGAGGAATTCCAGACATTTGTCAAGTCCAATGGCATCCGCCATATAACTTCAGCACCGTACCATCCAGCGACGAATGGTCTTGCGGAAAGGACAGTACAAACCTTCAAACAGGCTTTGCGTTCCATGCGTCAAAGCCCCAAGCCAGTGAGGGAGAAGTTGGCGGAGTTTCTCATAGCTTACAGGAACACTCCACACTCCGCCACCGGTGAGAGCCCAGCACAGTTACTCCTGGGAAGACCATTGCGTACTCTCCTAGATTTGGTGAAACCTAACTTAAACCGTAAAATGGTTAACCAACAACACCAGCAGAGCATTAAGGCAGCGATTGACAAGGGTAAACAGTATCGCCAGTTAGAGATTGGTGACTCAGTTATGTCACGGGATTATCGAGGGGATCTGAAGTGGCGTCCAGGGCTGATTGTTAACAAAACAGGTCCGCTGATGTATGAGGTACAGGTGGCACCGGGACTGATCTGGCGCCGACATATTGATCAGTTGAGACCAACGGCAGTTGGACACACAGTTGAAAGCACTGACGCCGACTGTAGTGTTGAAGTCAGCCAACCTGAAGTGGCCAACACACCACTGACCCCAATTACATCAAGTACTCCAATCACTGAGGGCGGCACAGCTCCAGGAGGTTCCAAAAAAAATCAACCAAAGATGGTTCCTGTTTCCACACCTACGGTACCTGACCCTCCTGATGCTAAACCAGCTACAGTTAGTCCGATGGTCAAAATGCGACAACACCCTCAGAGAATTCGCAGGGCACCACAGAGGCTTGATCTCTGAACTTTGTTTTATTCTGTTCGTTTTCTTGTTTAAAGGTCGTTCTTACCTTTCGAACTGTGGTTACCGGACACTGTTGGTTATTTTATGTTTTCCTTGAAATTGTATTTTAGGGCTTGTTTGAAAACTAGGGACAGATCGTTTAATGTGTGGAGGAATGTTATGGTTTTCCAGTGTGTTGTATGTCGTGTGTTACCATATATGGTTTGCTCATGCGCACGCATGAGGCTTCATTAAACAGTCTTTTACTTACCGAACCGCCATGTTGTTTGGGGTGTGTAGTTCTTAAGTAATACATGACATACATGTTTACCATGTACATTGTAAGTAAAGGAGCGGAAAAGACACCTTTTAACTTAAAAAATGATGCAGAAAGTTAAATGGAAACCTTTCATATCACAAGAAGTCTTGACCTTTTAATGAGGATCTTGTGAAGGCCACAAAACATTGCCCTTATCAAATGAGCCCAAAATATTTAATCAATGCCATTATTTATGCACAGACCCCTAATTCCATGACATCATTTGCAAGAAAAGCTGATTGGTACAAGATATCAAAATGTTGTGATATGATTGGTGTAAGATACATACCCCACTGCAGCAATCTGATTGATGTGAGATACATTACATACCCTAATGCAGGGAATCTGATTGGTGCAAGCAACATACCACTCCACTGGCTAACATAGAGTTATTTATTGTTATGGAAAAAAAAAAAACTCAAAAACCATTAAATTGATAATGCCCATGTTACATTACACTAAACACAATTTCAAGATCTTCCACCATCATCCTCACCATTTGAAGATAGGAATTTAATATTTCCAATGCTCATTAATGCACTGAAGGTGATGATGAATTCTTGAGGAAACATTCCAGTTGTTGGCCAGAAAGTATCAAGGCTTCTAAGGAGCAAAATAAAAAGACAATTAATTCTGTTTTGGCTGATCAGGGTGTAGCCATAGGAGTCACAGATGGTAAAATTTGAGACTCACAGAAATACAAAGACCCCTGTTTGAAAATGCAAGAGTGTGACTATATATAATTTAAGCTGCTTTGCATGACCTCTCACTTTGGCCGTAAGACTTCTAAATGGGAACTTGAGTTGATTCTAAACAAGATTTTTGGCGATAAACTGATTGACAGCTCATGATCTTAAAGGTATCATTCACCAACCTTTGCCTTAGAGTTTTTCATTTACTTATTACTGAAATGTACTATAATAAAGTAAAACCCTGCTAACTTGAAACCCAAACTAACTCAAAGAAGATCCAATTTTCCCTGGATTTGACCCCAACTTTTTCTGTCGTTGGTAAAATTTCCACACAGCCCCATACTGTTGTAAAACAAATCTGTTTTCCCAATGGCAGTGTATAGTTTTAGTCATTGTTTTCTCTATCCAAGAACTGAATGCATAATGTAGTATGGGGCTGTGTGGAAATTTTTACCCTGTCATTAAATATCACCTAACTTAAACCATTTTCTGTTTCCCTTTGTAGCTTGAGTTTGCAGGGTGCTAACGTAGTTTTCAACTTTTGTGTGACATTACCAAGTACAGATAAAAGCAAGCATCTGCAAATATTGCGTTACTCCTCATACCTTTCTTTTCTTAAATCTTGCTTTTTCAGAATAAACAGATCATACACATTCCGAGGGCCACGGGTTACCATGACAACTACTATCGTAAAAATGTTCACGATAGTATATATAGAATGATTAGGTCATGGTCTACCAGTTTAGCAATTCCAAAAAGTATAGCATTACTGGGTTTCAGATAAATTGGAAGTGGTCTTGAAATATCTAAATTGTCCTTATCAAAACCTCAATTAACTTTGCTTGTTCGAAAATTTGAAATGTTTTGGCAAGATCTTCACCGAATGTAAAATACTTACCCATCAATGATATTTTCTGGTGGATGATTTTCATCAAATGATGTAGCAAGGGCAATAGTTGCTCCAGCACTACTTAAAGCCACGTCAAACATGTTTTTAGTGCTATTTTCTGAGGAAGAAAACCCTCTATCTCGCAAGTGAGGGGTTCAAAACATTTCAAAATCGATTGCTCCGGAGAATACTGGGCCGAGCTCCATGCTGAATATGCGCAGCTTGGTTTTATTTGCTGACAAGTAGCATACTCATGTTCAAGATGGCGGACTTTCTATGCAGAAATTATTGCTGGCATTGATAAGAAATGTTTCCACTAAATACGAAACAATTTTCTGCTGCATTCCTGGATGTTAAGCGTAATAGTCAAGGTTATAACGAGGAGGTCAGTTCAGTCGACAGGGATGCAACCAAGAAACTACTGCGGCCCTTCCATATTCCCCAAATCGGGCCTTCTTCTATTCCACAATGTCATCATCTTGGGACCATGATGTGGAATTGTGCGAGAAGAGAATGTTATCCACCCGCTCATCATTTGGAATCAAGAGAAGACTCACGAATTGAATCGCGAAGAGCACCTGAACGATCATGTTCTTCAGTTCTTCCGGAATTTGAATTACATCGCGTAACTTCAAAACATAAAGCACGAGAAGCAAACGAGCGACAGAGTGCGGAAAATATTGAACTTTCAAGACTAGTTAAAACACAATCTTTATACAAGACCTCTTCTACAAGAAGTACTGATTCTTCTCGAAACAATGTTTGTTGTGTGGAAGCAGAACCACAAAACAGAGGTATCCTCCAGCAATCTAGCTGTGAAGAAGCAAATGTTTCCAATGAGACTTTTGTTAATAGCAAATTAAGTAAATCGATAAGAGCATCCCACTGGGATAGTGACATGAAATCTTCAGAGTCTGAACATTGTATTGTCTCAGATTATTTTGACAGAGAATCAAAGTTAAGTCCAACTTGCAATGTACTAAGTGAGTTGGAAACCAAGGCGGATGTTAATGGTGTCACAATTTTTCCATTTAAACTCTTTATTCAATAACGCAACAGCTACTACATGACAACATGGGCGAAATCAAAATGGCGGGTCCGATACCACGTTTTTTCCCACAGGTCCGATGGGAGCGCGTGGTATGACGTAATATGACATCCCCCTTTCTACCGATGTAATAATAATAATAACGACAAAAAAAAAAATGGAACTTATCATATCTCCAGAACATTACAATACTGGTTGAAAGGATATCCCTCCTGTGCTTATACTTATAAGTCTATTCTTTAGTGTCTCTACTGTTATAGATCCAGCCTTTGTGCAGGTGTCACAGTCCTCCCAGATCTGGTCACATATCCTCCAGCTATGTCTGAGGGTCCCTGGGGGATGTTGTTCAGTGGCACTGTTTCGCCAGATCCTGGTCTGGGGGCTGCACCGTTTTTTTGCGATGTCTGTGTGTGACTGACTGGGGCAAGACTAGTTGTCTGCTGAGGTATCTCAGAACCTTGGTATACTGGGGTTTCCACCCGCTGGCATTGTGTTCCCCTCACTGCAGTTGTGTCTGGTTTCAGTTGGGCCCGTGTTCTTCGATAGGTGGTACCTGTACTGCTGGATCTGATGATGTAAGATCTTGGCTGTTTGGCGGGTTTTACAATAATGCCAGGTTCCCAGGTTTGTGAGTGGTGGTTGTACGTGCGGATGGGTTGGTCAGCTTCGAATGGCTTTTTGGGTGGTCCTGAATGCTGGTTGTAATAGTGGGCTTGTTTCTCCTGACGGGCTATGAGCTTACTTTTCATGACCTCATGGTGAGAGTGGTTGAGGAGGACTCTATGGCATGCTGGTAATCTAGTTTTAAATTTTCTGTTGGTGAGCAGTTCTGCTGGGGATTTCAGCTGGTGATCCAAGGGAGTGGCCCGGTATGATAGGAGAGCAAGGTACGGGTCCTCTTTATTTTCATCGCACTTTTGGAGAATGTTTTCCACGGTCTGGACCATTCGCTCAGCAAACCCGTTGGATTGGGGGTATAGGGCGGAGCTAGTAATGTGTTCTACCCCGTAGACGTTCATAAAATGCTTGAATTCTGCCGAACTGTACTGCGGTCCGTTGTCGGTCGTCAACTGCGTAGGGATGCCGTGTTCTGCAAAGATGCTCTTCAGATGGTTGATAACTGCAGATGACGTGGTGCTTGTTAGTCTCCTGATGACAGGAAATCTGCTGTATTGATCTGTCAACAGGAGGTATTGCTGCCCTCTAAATTCGAACAAGTCCGAACTGAGTCTTTCCCATGGTCGGTGTGGCGGTTCTGGCTGTAGTATTGGCTCTTTCCTTGCTTTATTTTGGTATTTCTGGCAGGGTTCGCACTGGTTAACTTGGTTGATGATTTCCTTTGTAATTCCAGGCCAGAAAACGGATGTACGTGCTCGTAAAAGGCATTTCTCTTGCCCTAGGTGGCCTTGGTGTATGATGTTCAGGATTTCAGGTCTGAGAGTAGGAGGTATCACGATGCGGTCTCCTTTTAGTACTAAGCCGTCCTCGATGGTCAGCTCTTCTCTGAAATTCCAATAGCCATGTAGCAGTTGGGGGCACTCTTCTCTTTTCTGTGGCCATCCTTCAAAGACCATTTCTTTTAACAGAGACAACACAGGATCCCTCCCTGTTTCGTCACGGATCTGTTGTAGCTTTGTTGGAGTTGCAGGGAGATGTTGTGTGACGTGGTGGACATATATCTCTGAAAGTTGACTGCTGCTAGGGGTAGGCTGGGGGCTGACTCTTGAGAGAGCATCGGCTATTGGTACATCAGGACCTTTTACGTAGTTGACCGTAACGTCGTATTTCAGGGCTCTCATCAAGAACCTCTGTAATCTAGGTGGGCAACTGGACAGTCGCTTCTTGAAAATCGCCTCAAGAGGTTTATGGTCAGTGTTTACTGTACAGTGCTTTCCAAAAATGTAGTAGTTAAATCTCTCTAGGCCCCATACTACACCAAGTGTTTCTCTCTCAATGTTGCTGTAGTTTTTTTCTGTGTCTGTAAGTGCTTTGGAGGCATAGCATACAGGTTGCCCCTGCTGCAAAAGGACGGCGCCTACTCCTTTCTGGGAAGCGTCAGTTTGAATGACAGACTCGATGTTTGGGTCAAAGTATCTGAGGACTCCCATTGATGTGATTTCCTGTTTGACTTGGTTGAATGAGTCGTCGTGTTCAGGTCCCCATACATATGCGGTGTCCTTCTTGGTAAGTTCTCGCAGTGGTGCTGTGAGGCTAGCCAATCGCCCTGAGTATCTTGTAAGGTAGTTTACGAGGCCTAAGAAGCTTTGGAGGTCTTTGCGGTTCTCAGGTGGGGTCATCTTCTGGATTGCAGATATCTTACTGTCATCTGGTTTGATTCCATCCTGGGTCCATTTGTGGCCGAAAAAGCTGACTTCCTGACATTTGAGCTGTACTTTGTCTTTGTTGAATTTGATTCCCCTTTCCCTGGATCTGATCATGAGGTTTACCATGTTCGCATCGTGCTCTTCCTCTGTAGCTCCGTATATGAATGTATCGTCTGCAATGCCGGTGACTCCTTTCAGGCCCTCCAGTGCTGAATCTAAGTGTTTCTGGAACACATCTTGTGATACAATAAGGCCAAAGGGGAGCCGGGTGAAACGGTATCTCCCGAACGGGGTGTTGAAAGTAGTCAGGTAGGAGCTGGCTTCGTCTAATGGTACATGCCAGTAGCCCTTTTTGGCATCAACTACACTAAAGAATTTGGCACCACTAAGCTGTGTGACTACCTCATCAATTGTTTTGGTGTAGTAGTGTTCGCGTTTTATTGCCTTATTTAGGTCACGTGGATCGAGGCAGACTCTGATTTTGGTGACTTCTCCTTTGCCGTTGGTTGTTTCAGAGAGGACGATGCTATTAACCCAGTCTGTGGGTTCGCTTACGGGTATGAGCACTCCAAGTTCTACCATGGTGTTGATTTCCTTTCTAAACATGTCTCGAAGGTGTACTGGTACGGTACGTGGTGCGTGGATGACAGGTTCAGCATTGGAGTCTAGGGTGATGTGATAAGGTTTCATATTGAAGGTTCCCAGGCCTTCAAAGCAGTCTCCGAAGTTGTTGAAGAAGGTTATCCTGTCCAGTGGGGGGTATGTTTCAGTGTCTAGACGGCTAGGGTATCTGCTGGTCCTTTGGTGCGGTTTGCATGGTCTGTGTTCTTTAAGGCGGGTCTCTTTGTCTTCTTTGGAGGTTTCTAGGCTGCAATTAAATTTTACCAGCTCAAGTTCCTCGCAGGTTTTACAGCCAAGCATTGTAGGTCCTGGTACGTCAGTAACATTGAAAACGACTTCTTTAATGCTGCCATTTTGATGGACGTATAGTGGACAGGTTCCAAGGGTCTTGATGGCGTGGCCTCCATACGCAGTAATCCTGTGGTGTGTTGGGCCAAGGGGTATCTGCTGGGAACTGCGGTTGAGTCTGTCATAGTCGTCTTTGGAGATGACATTAACTTCTGCACCAGTGTCGACCTTGCAGATAATAGGTATCAGGTGTGTATCATGGGGGTCTACCGTGACTTGTATTTCAGTCATGACTTTGGTGCGTTGTTTTTCTTTTTGTTCAATGCTTGCGATCATTGAGGTACTGGGGCTGTCTCGGGCTTCTAGTGTTCCCAGGAAGACTTTGTCGTAGCTTGTGCATTCACTTGTTACACCATCAGGTTGTTCTTTTTGTAGGGTCATCACATCTGACCTTGTTTTAGACTTGCAAACTTTGCTAAAATGACCGCGTTTGTTGCAGTTGAAGCATTCTACTCCAGTGGCTGGGCACTGCTGGTCTTTGGTGTGTGGTGTGTCTCCACATCTGTAGCACTGTCTTAGGTTGTTGTCACGTCGTCTGTTTCCTCTACCATTGGTGTACCTTTGGTGGGGCTGGTTTCTGGGCTTGTTTCCTCTGCTGATTGCATTGACTTCCCCTTCTTCTTGCTTTGGGTTTGTAGTGTCACTCATTGCTTTTAATTGCATCTGGGTAGCCTCATCAGTTCGTGCAATTTCTTTTGCCCTTGCAAAGGTTAATTCATTACCGCGGGCAATGCATTTTCGTCTGACCTCTTCCGAATCGGTGCCGAAAACTAATGTGTCACGCATGAGTTCGTCATGTAAGTCAGGTGGGTAACCTGAGCTCTGTATG